CCTTTTAGGTGTTTTCCCCGCTACCCGGTATTGATATATCCGGGGACCCACAAAATACATGTTTCTTTTATCGAGGCGCTATCACTAATCCAACAAGAATCAGGTCGACGATCAATAACATCACAAAAATTCCGCTCCACTTGGATACACTCACCCCATCGTATTCGTGCGTATCTAACAAATACAGTATATCAAATTGTTGCGGGGTCCATGCAGGGAAGCACCAGTAGCACTCCAGGTTTCCGGGTCGGCGATCTCTGCAGGAGTGATGCACTCTCTTTCACCGGCGAGCAGCAAATTTAGTAATCCATAAACACTAAAACCCCTAATGAGAGGTGTGTTGCGAGTGGGGGTTTTGTTCAACGCTGGCTATCTATCGCCGGGGCAGACGGAATGCGGGTCTGTCGTGGAGAAGCTGAAAGATTTGGGGCTCGAGTACAAAGGGAATGAGGCAAGTTTAACAGCCACTACTGCACGGTAGCGGCAACAGACCCCCATATGCAGTGGTGTACCTCGCTAAGCACGGCCCTCGTGCTTCACCAAAGCTAGATAATGTGGGTTTTCACATGAAAGCTCAAGACAACAAGTGGATTTCCTCGCCCTAAAACGCAACCCAAGTACGCGCTTCAAATGGACTGCGGGAATGACAATCCCTGACATCATTCCGATCACTTCTCGGGTTTGCGCCGGCAGAAAGATGCATCCAGCCACCCGTCATCACTGTTTCGCAAGCTGGTGGGGTTGGGAAGTAGTATCTAGAGTTGACATGCGCGTCAATTTGCGTCCAATGCACAACAATTGATCTCGAATCACGGGCCATTGAACATTCGTCCCGTTCGATGTTCACAGCACGAGCAAGAACAATACATATGTGTGGAGTTCATGGCACCCTTGACCAGGGTAGATTATCCACAATTCTGATTAGACCAAGTGCCTTAACACAGCCGCTGGGACACAAAGGCCTCCAACGGCCAACGAGCCAACATGATCATGCTCTATTCCTTTCTGTCCAACAACTTCTAGGCAAATTCAGAGGCGAGCTGTTCTCAATATCATTTCGCTTGTTACCCTGACGCTTATATTGGTTCTAAACCCGCAGCTTTTCTTTCCCTTATCGAAGGTCCATCATTCCAAGATAATTTATCCATTTGATCAACTGTGACCTTTCCTTTCAGTCCAAAAAGGTTTAAGAAAGGGAGAAAAAAGAACGTCCCGTGTCTCATGCCAATGCTATAGCATCTGTGACAGCAAAGCCCACTAATTTGAACAACGATCTCGATATAAGGAGGGGAGAAGTTGCTGGATGCTTTTCATCCGATAAGCTACAGCTTCGTCTTGATCTTGCATCCTTTTCATCAGCTCATTTCTCTTTTCCTCAATTTTCAAGATGCACCTGAGCACATCGGTTAATTCCCTTTCAACTGCAATTTCGCCTGCAATGAGTTGTCCATCATGTATCATTATATAGACTCCTTCTTGACCGAAGAGATCCACCTTTTCGACCTCCTGCCGAGGGCCATCGGTTATGGAAAGCTGTATGAAGGTCAGTAGGTGAAGATTTCCAAGTTGAGAAGTTGTTCACCTTGCCGCAATGATACATCACCTCAAGATGATTACTTTGCCCCTGCAGTTTTGTACTTGCTTGGGATTGTAAGGCTTGATCAACTTTCTCTTTCTGTATGGCATTGCGGAGCATCTGCACTAAATCATGGGTCATTTCGGCCTGCTCTTTTGAAGCCGATTTTGTTATTTCAAAGATCAAGGCACACCGGAACTCTTCAGTCCAGAGCTGGAAAGTAAAATGTCCAGGGCCTGAATCCATAACTTGAATGAAATTGGACTGAAAAGTGATGCGGAATCCTAGTTCTAACCCATTTGTCCACAAAAAGTCCGGCTTAGAACTGGACCCGTTCGTGGTTGTAATGATTGACTCGATAGAATCACCTGTAGCGCTTTAGTGTAAGTAGTATGTTATCATCTAACTTATGGAATATCAAATGTTACCGTTCACAAATTTTGCACACGTAGTTCGCCCTCGCACTCTATTGGCGGCGTTCGTGTACAAAATCTCATCAACCCTCAGCGGCCAAATATTCTCACTATTAATCTCTCCTAGGAGCAGATAACCATCAGGTCCAGCCCTGAATTCGTAGGATAGGCTGCTGTCAATTTCCATCATGGTAGTGAAACTTGGTCTGTGGGAGAGATTCGGCAACGCACTGGAGTTGTTATTACACTCAATTGGTGAATGATGAGTTTGAAGCGTGTGAGAAAACTTGTTTGAGATGATATGGGATGTGGCTACCTTTTATGCCTTGTTGCTTCAAGAACTGACCACCTGTTGCTGTTGTCGATGCGCGGTTGACACCTAGTCAGTTATGTCAAGGGAATGCGTTATCACGGTGATGAGGCCCGACACGGCTGCATTGCTGGCCTGAATGCTAAGACGGTATATCTCTCAAAACAATCTCTATTGCATGATATTGGATGTAATTAAGCGATAGGGTTCGTATTCAGGGGATAGGCTGGCCATCCGTTTGGTCTCTGTTCATCACTTACGAAGCGGTGCGATATTTGTTATCTGAGCAATCACATATAGTTCGACCAATAACTCCAATGCAACCCAGACAGTATGCAATATCCTCACCACAACCTCCTTGGCACTCAATGCCACATGGACATCCAAATGTATGAACCTCTCCTATGCAGTCCTCAGGCTCTTCGACTCCTAGGATGAGTAGATGAGACCCTGCTAGAGGTAGACCTCACTGTATGGTGTGATTCCAATTTTTCACATAGCATCTGAACTTTGCACTCTGCTTCACCGCTTGTTGCCCTCTTGCTTTCCACATTGGTAAATGCATGATTGGCTGGCCTTGTGCGTGGCGTCTGTATCTTTAGACTTCTGTCTCGTCCCTTGGCAGCCCGTAAGTAAAAGAGAGAGATTGTAGATCCCAAGGAGGCCTTATCACAATTGCCCCTTGCTCTTAGTGCCCTTAGAGCGATTGCTCGCCGCTGGAGAATGAAAGGCAAAACGATGTCGTTTAAGTAAGGCATTTGCACAATGAACAATGCTTCTACATCCGTGCTCAGTGTACTTGGCTTCCTTGGAATGGCGCCACACTCGTCCATTAGTTGCTCCAGATGGCGTTCTAAGACAGAATGCGCTCTGCTGACTCTGCGATACAGTTCACCCTGCATGAAGACTTGATGAGGTGGAATCGGAGGAAGCTGCATATGCTCGCCTCACTTTGGCGATTGGGCATGAAAATGAGGGTGGGATGAGGCTACGACACCTGGTATTTGAGGAAGGCTGCTGAGGCGCGATGACTAAACTTGGCAAGGATCGTTCACTGCGACATAACCATCCGACGCCAACCCTTATCGCTCAGAAGTAAGACCAACGCGAGAGCGCTTTTTCTATGAATCTGAAAATAGCTGTCAGTAATACGAGGGTTGAGAACCATGTTGTTTCAAGGACGAGGGTGGTCAGCTGTAACATTATATTCTGGCGGTTGCTGTATCGTTCCGTATTTGGTTCAAACAGTTCGTGCATGCACTGTCATTACGAGTAAGACCAGGGAAGAGACAGACAAGATGCTGACTGCGTATAATATCATAAACGCAGGTTGTCTTCCGTCTCAACGTACTATCAGCTCACGTGGGTTGGAACATAAACTTAGGCTGCCGCGACCATACACGTAGGCAAGCCGTCAGAGTGATGTTGCATCTGCAGAGCCTCCATTTACGGGGCGCGCACATTTGAAAGTACCAAAGGGCGTTTGCAAAGTATGTTCTAGAGACATGATGTGTCAAAAAGAGTTCGCATGGATGCCACACCCATTCTACATTTGCGAGTAATGATGTGATGCAGCTTCAGGTCACAATTGGGCCTCAAATCTCAGAGTACTACAAAGATCTAGGACTTCCGATCCGGAAGATACTAGGGCCTGCCTTCTATTGGTCTGACGTACTTAACCAATCTGCCTGAGTAGTCACAGTCCCTGATCTAGTACGCTGCCCCATGTACACATGAAGCCACTAATTATATCCTGAGCCTATCGGTCCGCTACCTAAAGGGCCATGCATCAAGATGCAGTTGGCCAAAGCAGCTTTGACGCAGAACTAAGTTCAATGTCGTGATATAAGCTCTCGGCCACAAGTCCCAACTGCAAGAGCTTTGACGCAGGTAGTATGTTTCTAGGCGCCAAAGACACTGTCGTTTCGTTGTGGAGGATATGTATGGTCGATAGGCTCTGTGATAGCTGGATGAAGAGGTGACCCACTCTCATGCATTGTCAGCGTGGCTAGGGTTCGGGCCCACTGCCTTGGACAGAACATACTTAAAGTCGACAGCCCGAGGGTTCGTTCATCTAATATGAGCTCTCTTTTCTACAATATCTGCTTTTGACCCGATCATTCATTCTGAAACACTTTTTATATTGAAGTGTCAATCAATTTCGATGACTCGTCAGAATTTGAGCGGGCCGCAGGCCAACTCGTCCACTCTGTGCGATAGACCTAAGCCTGCCAGCACTGATAGGAAGGACCAGTCCTTCACTGAGGCTCCTCCAGACCATGATCCTGCTCGACCGCAGGTCAATCAACCGGGCAGCTCTGATTCAGAGAACATTGAAACTGGCGAGACGGTAAGAGGTCCTAATAGGCATCACTTCTTTGGCTAACACTCATTCTCGATATTCCAGGCTGAGTCACCAGAACACACTCAAGATACTGCCAGTAAACACTTTGTGTACTATAACGCAGTCGCTGGTCCCGGAATAGATCAACTCAATGGAGACTTCGTAACCATTTCTGGGGCATCCGCCAATAGCAACAACGATGGACTGAGTAGTATCACAGAGGTACACAACAACGCTCTGAAAATAGGCCGTGGATCCCAGCATAATGGCTTTATAATCAACCTCGGCGAAGGTGGTACTCTGGAAAACCTTCCAAATTTTCGTGTCACATACAACAATCCAACTTGTTGGGCAGATCCTTCCGTCTACAAAGATGGAAATAAAATTGTGGGAACACAGCATAATGGATGCATTATCATGAGAGGATCTGCGCCTGTCAAAGATTGATCAGAGACCGCAAGCTGTTGACGGGTTGGAGCATTTTGCTCTTGAAATATTTTGGGATTAAACCGGAAACTCTACGTATAGTCCTCACCCTTGAAGGTATCCTGTCATAGCGACAATTGTAATGGTTTTGCGAGTCCAATTGTTACTTATATTGTCTTGTTCCCTCGCATCACGTTTGTGGCGGCCATGCCATGCCTAGACCTAAAAATGAAAACTGAGTTAAACCGATTGCTGAGCGCCGTTTTCGACGACACTGGGTATTAGTGTTGTTTTCTTGTACAACAGTAAAAAACCAGCACTAAGGACCTGAGCTATGTCATACAGTGAGCTTTGGTCGTCCACAGCGATGGTTTGCCTCAGCGCGGCAAATCTTGGGAATGAAACGTCATATCAATTTGATCTTTCCCAATATAGGCTTGTAGCTCTCTGCTGTGAGTAATTATCCATGCCAGTGGAGCCCACCTACACCGCTCTTCCATCGTGACAGATTTATGGCCGTCATAATTCTATTTCACGCTCCTCTATCAGAGTGACTTCGACTAGGTTTATCGCATGTCTCATGAACATCTTGAATGCGCTGTGGGGTGGGTGAGTAGAGGGACTTGGCCAGGGCCTGAGCCGCTTCGCACAGATGCTCGTTGTTGGTCGATCTCCCATTTTCAATCAGCAGATCGCCGGACTTCGCTCATGATACAGGGGCCTACGCCCCGGGACCTGTTGCAGTCGCCGGCGGTGGGGCACCAACTTCAGCCCAGGCGAGACGGATGGCCCCTTGTTCATGCGGGATCCCTATCAATGGGCTGTTGTGTACTGGGCGACCACCAGAGCCTGCCACATCCCCGCTGTCCTCCTCTCTTTGCGCTTCAATGGCTTTAAGGGGTGATACTGACCTGTTGGGTTACACGCCAGACAGCCCCGGTTCGTTCAAGTTTGTATCGTTAAATAGCGGTGTACTCACCATTAGTGATGCTATTGCTTACCTCGAGATGTTACCCTTGGCGTGTCCGCCGCATCAGCGCCGATGGACAACACTCAAAGCTATCTGGCTTGCACGTACCAATATTCCATGTACATATTGAAGTCTGTGGATAGTATGACACGGGTGTTGTTCCAGGCGATGTCTGAGCGTGTACCTTACACGGTAACCGCATCCGTTAAGCGGGCCGCTGTCTCATCCTTCAGGCACCAGCGGCACAGATGCTAGTCACACCAAGCGCCCGTGCATCAAACGAGCTAAACTTTATACCGAATTGATGGGTGGCACCATTTAGAGTGTACATCCTGGCTCGCTCAAACCTCAGCCTTGTGATCGTCCGTAGTCGAGACGAGCCCGAGGATCAATCCGCAAGTTCGCCAGGGTATTGAAACTCACCGCCGACTCTATTCAAATGATCATATTCAAGAGAGCGTTTGTGGTTCGCCTGATTGCTTTTCAAGTGAAATCAAGACGAATTGTGAAGATAATGGATTGATGGAATTGGGCCAGTTGGTGGTCAACGTAGGGATCTTGAAAAAGACTTGAATGATGTATCTTGGACCCTATTGCTTCCCTGTTTTAACATAAGCAAATCTAGGATGTTTCTTAGGCCAATTGCTTATCGCTGGTTGATCATGTACATATTCAGTCAGCATTAGACGGACGGTTCATGAAGGCAGCGACTTGTCACGCATAGCACGTGCATACAAGAGACTTATGTTGAACAGTTTGTGCCGCTTCGATGGTCTCAGAACACCAGTATCCTATTAATCATTATCTAGATCAGATCAGGTTTCGCTAGATTCATCTTTACAAGCTCGCAGCACCGCTGGGTCAAATGCAGCTGCAGCTTTAAAACTTTTCACCGACTCTAGCGGCAGCCCGCACCATTGGCATCGCCTACGTGACTCCAATCTACGACTGTAGGTTCCAGGATACAGAGGCCTCGTGTGTGTGGACTCTACGCAAGGTTGGTCTCTGAATGTGCAACCGATGTTGCTACGCCTCTCTTCCACCCCGGAGCCTTTGCTCGTTGCCGCATCAAAACCGACCTACGTCAGCATCAACGCGTTAGCTTTCAAGAAAATTTTCATTCTTGATCCCAGCCGCCAGTTGTTCGTATTGTCACACCTCAGCTCTAGAACGGGGGCCTCAATCAGATACCAGCGGAGTGGTGAAGAAACAACAGACGGGGGACTATTCAGAGGGATGAGGCTCCTTTGTGACCGGACCTGTACTATTTCTTTTTGGCCTCATCATTACGCCGTGGATAAGAGCACAGTACTATCAACCAACTGATTGTGTATGTCACATATCTTTACTGCTGAACCCTGTATCATATCGT